TCTACCTCGAGAGCAAGCTACCCAAGCCTAGGATCGTATGGCACATGGGATTTGCCAAATTTGGACTGGGTAACCAATGGCACTTCCAATTCAACAGAGGCCTGTGTGAGTTCAATGTCCCCCCAAAAAACGGCAGATTGGGAGCCAGCTTCGGGCCCCGGGATTCATAAGCCGAGCTCTCAAGATCTCCTGAGAAAAGCTGATAGAAACCAAATGCAATTCGCCCAGCGGATCCATGTGGCAGGCCAGCCACTAGCTCGGAGCTTGGGGCTTGGAGTGAACGTTTTGCTGTGTAAAAAACATAATATGAAGGAACCCCCTCGCCCCCCAAATGGGGCTGTGAGGTCAAAATTGTTATATAGTTAGGGGAAAAGGCAAAACTCCCGAAGACCTTGTATCAGAAAGTGCCCAAAACATCTTGGCTTAAGCTTGCTGCTGGGGGGGAGGCCGGGGTGGCCGCTCATAATCAAGCGCCAACATTAATTATGCGGACCCTGGCTTAGGTTGCCCTGCACCTAGGCCTCCCACAGCCGCACGTGCAGCCAGGCCAAATCCGCGTAACGCACCACGCCTTGGCAGTGCATAGGCCTGGCCGAAATAGAGGCTCAACCACTTGAATGGTTCCAGAAAGATGCCAGGAATAGTCTTACTTGAAATGGTCTTGGAACTCGGCACGCTAGCCAACTTGGACAGAGTTGGTTGGGGGATGTCAGCGGGCTAGGCAAAAACCCACGCTAATGAAAAATCCCTTGCCTGGAGTAAACTCCTGTACTTCACTAAGCAACAAAAGGCATCCCTCTTTGCATTTGGGAGGTGGGGTTGGAACAGCCCTTTGTAGTATAGAACTAGGGGTCGGCTGAAGAGTCTACGATGGCAGGGGATACGGGGTACGAGGGCAGCTGACTGCGTTCGGGCGAGCTTTCTTGTTTTCCCCCAGTGGTCACAAAACAAATGCTGCAATTTTGAAGCTAGAGATCTTTGTCATTGGAGCCGGCTTCAAACCCAAAATTCATTTTGTAGTGGGCGCGTTGGTTCTGAGCCCTACCCGGCCCTACCAATGTTTCAAGTCGCATGGGCGCCCACGTTATACGAAACATGCATGAAACACAAGCTCTATCCCTACAACATGCCACACCAACCAAACCTCATGCCTACAACGCGACTACAAAGCGACATAACCAGGCATAAGCTCTCAACATGACCCTCAATACAAGTCTGAAAAAACAAGAGACATGTAGCCTCTACAAAATGGCGGGATCTTTTGCTCAACCCATTTTTAAGGCCCGACAAAGGCCCTGCACAAATTGCGTTCGACAAAATTGGCGTCGACCTGAGGCGTGACCCCCGATTCAAAGGGCCCCCTATGACAGGACTCTCCATCATGGAGGTCGCAAAATCCCCTTGCGAGGTTTTTGTCATCACAAACAATGACAAGCGCGCAGGCCAGATCTGGCACGCACTGCCCGCCTTTGTTATAGGGCTCCACCAAGTCCAGCATGTTCTGGTCGAGGGAGGCCTGGCAATCCAAGGGCCCAGCCACGTCAACGGGTGTTTGCCTGCGAGACTCCAAGGGCACCTGCCCCTTTGAGCAGCACAAGCGCAGGAAAGTCTGGAAGTCTCACAAAAAAACATGCTTCCCTGGACACGTGCGCACAAACACAAATGCACAGATGCGAACACATACATGCATACATACGTACGTACATTACATCACATCACATTACATTACATCACATTACAAGACGCACAAACACAAAGACACAACACACACACACACACACACGGGCACACCCAAGCCGCAGGCACCCGCAAATTGAAGGGTCTTGCCCTGCACAAACTTTGCAAATTGTCTGAAGAGCATACAACGCTGCAAACTGACACGTGACCCAAGAAGAGGGGTCCCTAAAACGGAGAGTCCTCTAAAAATATGGGTGTGTGTGTGTCACAACAGGGGTACCCCAAAAGTGGTGGCTGTCCTTTTGGTTCCCTTTAAACGAGCCCCAAAAAGGAGACCCTCAAAAAGGCATATTTAAAAATGTTGTTGTTCAGTTCCCTGGTACTTTGCAGGAAGCCATCCCCTGACTTGTTCAAGCGTAGGTCAGGGCTGAGGTCGCACACCTTGAACCAAAGCTAACGCACCCCCCTACCTTGAAGATGGGAGGGGGGTCACCAATTTCCATGCTAGCCCTCGCCCGGGAAGGGGGAATTGATTGCTAGAACTCACCAACCTGAAAAAACAACTTCATCATGCATGAGTCGAGCTTGTTTTGTTCCCAGGTGGGCCCACTACAAGCTGTGAAGATGTGTGGGGAAGGATCCGTCTTTATTGGTACCCCCGGTTCCATGCAATGGTTGGGACACACCCTGAAACCTCATGACCGCGCAGAGGTAGTTAAAATGCAAAACATGCATCCTTGCCAAAGGGCAATCATGAAATTCCGCGTTTCACTCAAAGTGATACTAACAAAAAAAGACGATGGTGAACATGAAAACCCTTCCCAAAAAAATGATAATTACTTGGAGAAACCTCTCCCACAAATGGATGTGTTATGATTTCATTTGCTTTTACCAAGTGCACATCCAACCCATGGCGAAGTGAGACTCATGCCGCAACCCGCACCTCTGCGACACGTCATTCGATCATGCATGTTTATGTTTGGACGGCCAGCATTCCCCTGGAAAGACCACCGGTGGAGCTTGCCATGGCTCACGCGCGCACGCTCCCAGCGCATCATCTGCCAGTTCAGGGCTGAGAGGACTTTCTCTTGAATGCCTGCCTGCTGAAACAAGGGTCGACTGCGTTATGCATGCTTGCACCCAACAACAACAAAAAGGCGCTTCAACAATGAAGTTTGCCCCTGCCAGCTGGCAAAGGGCACCCCCCCAAATGAAATACATGTCTTGCTGTAGGGCGCAGCCACCTGTAACAAAGCAACCAGTCGCACACACACACACACAATACTTTGATTGGGCGAGGTGGGGATGAATCAAGGCGTCTTCAGGCAAAACTCAACTGGAGTTGGCAACACCCTTGCATACCCTTGCCATTGAAAAACCCACATCTTACCCCGGTTGGCCAAGCAAAACAAGCTAAGGCACCTATTCCACGCTGGCAACTTGTGTTGCGGCGCCTTGCGCAAATGAGCCAAAACCAGGGCCTCCTCCAGTGGCTGGTTTCAGGGTTCATTGCAAAAGCACCCCACGTTGGGTTCATAGAAATGTTGGAACGCATTTGCTTGGGTGGTTTCATGCATGTCTCGCCACACACTCCCACAGTTGGGTTCATGAACGCGGCACAGGCGACAATCACCCTGTGCAGGTGACTGGCCTCGGCCTTGGAGTTGTTGCATGTCTCTTCTTCCACCTGGCGCTGTGAGAGACTGGGGCAGAAACGAGTTAAAACCCTCTTTCCAATCATAGAAGAAAACAGAGGGCTCTTCAAAACACGGTAGTCTTCCAAAACCCTCTTGTCAGCTGTCATGATTGTGGGAAAAAGGTAATGTGATTTCGAATTCAATCGGAGGACAATGCCAGCCGGAGGGATCCCAATAAAATGGAGCGATTCCCCGCTAGAGGGGGGATTGCCCCCTCACAAGCGCCGTCCTCGGATTTATCCAAAGCTGGCATTAATCAGGGGTCGCGGTTCCCCTGGAAAGGAAACAGGGACTCCCTTGACTCAAAAAAACATCAGGAATCAGCCCTAGATTCGACCGGCCTTAGATAAACAACAAGCAAGCAAGCAAGCAAGCAAGCGAGCGAGCGAGCGAGCGAGCAAGCGATCAAGTAAGCGAGCACGCAAGAGCGCAAACCAATGCCTCTCGATGACTCCAAGGAGGCAGAAGCAGGGGTGCCGAACTGGTGCAAACTGGAGTGCCAGTTGGGCTCCCAACAGGGCCAACGCTTCAAATCGAGACACCCACCAACCCAAATGCGTGAAAATAGTGTTTCATGTTCTGCCTGCCTTGGCCACACAAGGCGGGCTTTCCAAGCCCCCACCCCAAATCATCAGTTGCAAAGTGAGAAATTGTGGGGCCAGTAAAATGACCATTACCAGGCATCGAAACCATGTCCTGTCGCTAACCCTCCCCCTCACAGCACATCCACCACAGAGTCTGCGAAGCTCGCCCTTTCAGGCCAACTCGTGACGTTGATTTCATCTTGGTTTCCTCACCTGTTGAATTCCTTTGGGTTTCCTTCTGGGGGCAGTCTGGAAAACCAGCCCCGTATTTGACCCTCAGCCCGAGGCCAAACCCTCCGCCTGCGCTTTGCTCCGCGCGCTTGCCGGAGTCAGCTGTGGCAACACGGCCTGTGGCAGCGAAGGGAGTTGACGTAATTAAGGCTAGGGCACCTGTTGAAACACGTTTGGAACCATTGTTTACACAGCCTGATTTTGCTTTCCGGGAGCCGAAGTGGGCTGGTGGGCGGGTATGCGTAGGGCCGTAGGGCTGACAAAGATGACGCCATCCACCCCTCAACTGCTTTCTGCAGCACTTGGGGTTTTGGAAATTGGAGAAGCAGGTGTTGAGGGGCTGATGGATGACACCAGGGTCGTCTCAAGCTTTGTTGCATCTTTGCGCTTGACAGGCCTATCCCCTGAGAAGTACTTTGGCGGGACGGTTCCATAACAACGCCTAGCGGAAACTCTCCGGCACAATGTCAACCACGCAAATATGCTGAATCGACCGGCAGGCATCAGTTGCCAACCTGGCAGAATCGGTCGGGGAGTTGGGTGGCAAACTGGCCATGCTCATTCTTTCCCCGCTCTCCTCAATCCAGCCGGCAAGACGGAGGCGACAAGCCAGCGCCACTCTCATTGGTCACCAGTGTTGGATGCTAGTCGCAATTTGTGCCCTACACTGCAGTGACACCTTAGACCAGCCATGCGCCTGTTGCCCTTGGTGCGAACCAAACAGAAACGCCTCTGCAGCCCTACTCTGGGTGGACAAAATCCTTTCGCACCAGTTGGGAGTGGTGGTTAGGTTAATCCCAGTATTCATAGGGTTCCATCCATCCCAACTGGTGCTTGAAGGGACTGTGTAACCATCCACAGTACCCCTTCTTCCCTTGTTTGAAGGGACATCGCTTCAGCTCAGCAAGGCAGCTGGCAGGCCTTTGCCGGCCTTCAAGGTGATTATTCCAATCGGCTTTTTGAATTTAGCAGAGAGGCGTGAAAACGTACTGGAGAAAAGCTGGGCGCTGCCCCTGGAACAGTCTCCCCCAAAAAAACAAAACGAACTCCGAAACGCACTCCCACACGCACCGATTCATGAACTCACGCGCCCTCCATGCTTTTGACAATGCCTTGTGTGGAAGCGAACCGTCCGGGCAGATCACTAGCCCCAGTTGGCTGGCCAAGCTGTTGTTTCGCCTGCAGCGTCAGAGACGTCTCAACAACCTTGTTTCATTGCTGTATCCGATGGCTGCAGAATGTTCTGCAAACAAATCCACTGCCTCTTCAACATTTGAAGGGGGAGGCAGTCCTCCCCGCAGGCAAAATTTTGTGAAATCGATGCAATGTCAGTCCTTCAAATTACCCTTGCTTCAGCGGGTTGTAGTACAGCTCTTGCCAACTGATGTCAACAGCAACTTGCCGTTGTTCTTATTTTTCCAGCTGAAAACCAACGAAACCCAACAAAGGAACTAAATGCGATCGCAGGCCACGCATCCCACGCTTGGCAACAGCGGCGCTGTAAGTCGGCAGAACCTTTGTTTACGGAAAACTGATGACCTGCATTAGTTTGCATTCCCAAGCAGGACGAAAGCGGAAGAAGCAAAATTGTCCGTGCGCGCGCAGGCGATGGGCGAAAAAGATTCTAGTGAGTGAACCCACGGCCAACCAAATCCCAAAATTCGAGAACTATAAATAGGCCTCAAACATGGTCGGCAAATGAGGCAGCCTCAGGGCACATTCAACCAGAAAAAGATCGCACAGCGCCCCCTCGAGCCTCGTCATAGACTCGGACTTTTTGGTCATAACCCCCCGCCGCGAGGCGGCCGTCGGGCGCCCAGGCCACGGACTCGATGGAACTGTCCGCATCGCCGAAGGTCTGCGTGAGCCTCAGGTCCTGGCGCCGTGCAGCGCCCCACTGACCCGTGGCCCGCAGCGCAACGGCAAACCCTTCAGAAGGGGCAACGGTTCCGGCAGAACCTGGAAAGTGAAAAGGTAGGTGCAAAAATGCGCAAACACAGGTTGCGCTGCAACCGGTAACCCTTGATCCAGAAATTGCCGAAACCAACCAGCAAAGCACCGTGTAAAACCTGCTCATCAGCACATCGGACCTCTTCAGGAACTTCGGGGCCAATACCGCAGCACTGCAGCGTTTGCATGACAGTCCAAAATCCGTTGCCTTTAAGCCCAGGGTCCGCTGTAGCAATCAGTTTCATTTTGAAGGGGATTGCTAGCGGTCAATGGCCAGCAGCAACAAGGCTCTTCACATCTAGGAAGACATGACAGCACCAGCGACGTGGCACAATACGAAAGAAACCAGCCACCGAGCCCTCCCGAGCCCGCCTCGTCATAAACTCGGACTTTTTTGTCAATACGGCCACGGAGTAGATCTCATTGTGTGCACCGCCGAGGGTGTGCGTGAGCCTCAGGTCCTGGCCGCCGTGCAGCAGCGCCCCACTGACCCGTGGCCCGCAGCGCAACGGCAAACCCTTCAGAAGGGGCAACGGTTCCGGCAGAACCTGGAAAGTGAAAAGGTAGGTGCAAAAATGCGCAAACACAGGTTGCGCTGCAACCGGTAACCCTTGATCCAGAAATTGCCGAAACCAACCAGCAAAGCACCGTGTAAAACCTGCTCATCAGCACATCGGACCTCTTCAGGAACTTCGGGGCCAATACCGCAGCACTGCAGCGTTTGCATGACAGTCCAAAATCCGTTGCCTTTAAGCCCAGGGTCCGCTGTAGCAATCAGTTTCATTTTGAAGGGGATTTGACAATTGTCAATTGCATGACAGCACCAGCGACGTGGCGCAATACGAAAGAAACCAGCCACCGAGCCCTCCCGAGCCCGCCTCGTCATAAACTCGGACTTTGTTGTCAAGACCCCCCGCCGCGAGGCGGCCGTCGGGCGCCCAGGCCACGGAATAGATTGCCCAGTCCGCATCGGCGAGGGTGTGTGTGAGCCTCAGGTCCTGGCGCCGTGCAGCAGCGCCCCACTGACCCAGCGCAACGGCAAACCCTTCAGAAGGGGCAACGGTTCCGGCAGAACCTGGGAATTGAAAAGGTAGGTGCAAAAAAAATGAAAAATGCGCAAACACAGGTTGCGCTGCAACCCTTGATCCAGAAATTGCCGAAACCAACCAGCAAAGCACCGTGTAAAACCTGCCCGTCAGCACATCGCACCTCTTCAGGAACTTCGGGGCCCCTACCGCAGCACTGCAGCGATTGCTGGACAGTCCAAATCCGTTGCTTTAGCCCAGGGTCGCTGTAGCAATCAGTTTCCTTTGAAGGGTGATTTGCTAGCGGTCATGGCCGAGCAGCACCACGGCTCTTCAATCTTAGGAAGGACATGACAGCACCAGCGACGTTGGCACAATTACGAAGAAACCAGCCCACGAGCCGTCCCGAGCCCGGCCTCGTCAATAAACTCGGGGACTTGTTTGTCCGACTCCCCGCCGCGAGGGAAGCCGTGGGGCGCCCAGGCACGGACTAGATGGATGAGTCCGCATCGCGAGGGTTGTGTTTGTGCGTGAGCCTCAGGTCCTGGCGCCGTGCAGCGCCCCACTGACCCGTGGCCCGCAGCGCAACGGCAAACCCTTCAGAAGGGCAACGGTTCCGGCAGAACCTGGAAATTGAAAAGGTAGGTGCAAAAATGCGCAAACACAGGTTGCGCTGCAACCCTTGATCCAGAAATTGCCGAAACCAACCAGCAAAGCACCGTGTAAAACCTGCTCATCAGCACATCGGACCTCTTCAGGAACTTCGGGACCAATACCGCAGCACTGCAGCGTTTGCATGACAGTCCAAAATCCGTTGCCTTTAAGCCCAGGGTCCGCTGTAGCAATCAGTTTCATTTTGAAGGGGATTACTAGCGGTCAATGGCAATGGCCAGCAGCAACAAGGCTCTTCACATCTAGGGAGACATGACAGCACCAGCGACGTGGCACAATACGAAAGAAACCAGCCACCGAGCCCTCCCGAGCCCGCCTCGTCATAAACTCGGACTTTTTTGTCACGACTCCCCGCCGCGAGGCGGCCGTCGGGCGCCCAGGCCACGGACTCGATCCAATAGTACGCGTCGCCGAGGGTGTGTGTGAGCCTCAGGTCCTGGCGCCGTGCAGCGCCCCACTGACCCGTGGCCCGCAGCGCGACGGCAAACCCTTCAGAATGGGCAACGGTTCCGGCAGAACACGGCGGAACCATTGGGACATGTGGGGGCTCCGAGATTATCGGAATACTCAGGCCAAAGCTGTTATATTGGAGAGAGTCAGGTGGTCGGACTCGCCGAAGTCTCACTGGGGCAGCGGCAGTGATTGGGGACTTTGCTCCCAAAAGGATCCTCGCACGAGGGACCAAGGACTGTTACGAGAGGCCAAAGCTGCAGTCGCACATTTGGCCAAAAGCATGCCCTCCAGTCCAAAACTTCTTTAGGCATATTTAGGCATCTTTAGGCTTTGCGACGGCCGAATGCCAGCGGCTGATTTGATCACGCCACTGATCGCATGATCAACTGCAGCCAACTTTGAGCTTCGAGACTGTCAGACCACCAGTCATCCAACCACAATCGGTGCATTTGTCTCTGACGTGCAGCTGTGTTTTCTTTTGGCGCAAGCCTCTTTCTCGCAACTGCGAATGCAAGAATCTGAAGGTTGGAAGTAGGAAACTTGCAGCATGGCAGCATGACCGTGCAACAATTGCAGCCACATGCGTAGATTCAACGATGCATGGCTAGAGCTGAGGAAGCCGCCGAAAAACGCTGTAGCACTAAAGCTGCCATGCTCATCGGTGAGCAGTGGTGGCCCCCTCGATGTGGAAATGCCCTGTGAGATCAAAAGCACGCGGGATCAGAAGGACAAAAGCAAAGAGCTGCAGAAAGGCAGGCAAAAACAATAAAGTCAAGATGCCCCAGGACATGAAACAAGACATGCGCATGCCACAGGTGCGTTTGCAGAACCAGGCGCCCCGTCGAACCATCATGAAGATGCATCTCTAACCTGGCAAACAATCTGTAAACACTGGCCTGGTGAGGCGAATGGCTGATCTGCGGCCATGGAACGTGAAAAGCTTTGCCGTCAGAGGAATCATTGGCATGCGCGGGCAGAACCAGCTTGCATGGCCAAGCTGCGGATCGACCGGTGGATCCATCTGTGGAATGTCGTTGTAACAAGGCAATGCGAGGCCATTTGCCCATGCCTACGCCTGCGCCGGCATTCGAATTCCTGGGGGGGCGGCCTGCGCGAGATGCGCTCAACTGAACGAGCCTACGTGCACCTACGCCGTTGAAGTTCTGAGCTGAAAGTGCCAACGCGGTGTGCTTTCGGTACAACTCTGCTGCATTTGAGAGGGTGAATCACTTACACGCAGATCAAGGGCAGATCCAGCCCTATAATGGCAGACAGCCAAATCTCAAGCCACCGCATTCGCGGTCTGAGTCTGTGAGCCTGGGCTGCGAAAGGGGCCGGTCAGAAAATCTGGCCGCTTCCGCGAATCCCTGGCAGGGCCTGCGCAGAGACGCGGAAAGCGGCTGTTCTGGACAGAGCCGACGCAGCAGGCGCTGCAAAGTCGGTGAAAGTAGAACTACGGGGAGTACAAAAAAGGGAAGGGCAAACAGCACATATTTGACTTGAATAAAAAAAGAACAAGACAAAGGCTAAAAAGAAAAACAAGAAAAAACGCAACGTGAAAGAGAAGAGCAAAGAGACCTGAGAAAGAACAAGTGAGCCGCAACCCTCCGTTTGCCAACAATGTAATGCAAAAGCCCGATGACTAATTCAACAAGCAAATGTTGACCTCATTGGCTCCAGCCTACGCAGCGCCTACGCGAAAGACCCTGATTATGTTGCTCAAACTGCCTACGCATGCCTCCGCGCGTGCACTATATGACATGTCCTCTTTCCTTATGTTCCTTTACAACCCTGGAAAGCTTTGAATCTGGGACCGTAGAAGACTCAACTGCCACACATACACTGACGCGCGCCGCCTGCCTAAACAGCCTGACCCTGTGCATACCAACATCTCCCAACGGTCGGCACCTGTCGGTCTTGCACAAATGTCTGAACGTGTTCACGTATGTTTCAAGTAACGCGTAAGTATTGAATCCACAACGTGTGTGCGTGATTGTGCGTGTGAGCGTGCGCACAACCGATGCAAACAAAAAGCAGGCAGGCCATCGCGAAGATTGCTCATGCCCTTCGACCACGCCTGAAAGTCTGCCAACACCTTCTTCATACCTTCTATGTCGCTCTGGAAGTCCGCGGCGGCCTGCTTGACTTCATCTGTGTTTTTCACCTTACTTTCGCGCATGGGAAGAAGACTGAATGATGGTTCACATCTGGGGTGCAAATTTGCAGCCCAAGCGGCTGCGGAACCCTGCAGGAGCATGATTTTGGTGCGCGTCGCAAGAAAGGCTGCCGCTGCGGTCAAAATCTGATCTGGCGAGACGCCCGAAAGGCTAAAACCTACCCGGAAATGCAAAAAGGGTACTTTCTTGAAAACGGCAACTATTTTCAGGCATTTCGATCCTGTAGGTGCACTTCTTCGAACAGAATCCGCTCAGAATAAAGGCAAGCTGCGCAAAGAGACGCGCCTTGCTGCACAACGCCTGGCAGTTGCTTCAGCGCGTCCTCCACGTTGCCGTTGTGGGCTTCCTTGCCCATGTCGAACGCCGCTTTGCCAAAATTCACAACCTCGTCGCAATGCTCAAACTCGCCAAACGACATGATGCATGTGTGGATTTGTGGGGGTTCCTGCTATCGAATGGCCTGACAACTTGGGCTGAATTGCGCCTGGCAACGTCCTCGCCGTTTACCTCTTTCAATGCCCCGACAACGCCTTTGTCATCGCTTTCCTCTGTCGATTCGATAGTGCCTGCCGTCTTGGCCTTTTGCGAGAGCTGGACGTTTCCCAGCTTCGCAGATGCAGCCAGAAGCGCGTCCCCCTTGACCTCAAGTCAGTTCGCGAGCCCACCCTTGATTTTTCGGAACTCGAAAAGTCCATGAAACTGAACCAATGGAAACCCATCCATTGTTCAGCCAAACTGACCTAAAAGGGACACCTTCCTGGCTGGCTTGATCAAAATTAGGGGGATCAAACAAATCAACGACGGAAATTAATACCACTTAGCATATTAACACCAAAAAGCACAGTTAGAAACCTCAACAATAGCCCCGACTCACTTCTTTTTTTGCTATCTGCTCAACTCAAGTCCCATATGCGAACTGATTGTTACTCACTATGGCATAACTTGCCGGTTCTCAGCGAATTGTCGGATCCTTCCGAAGTTCATGCCCCCCAGCTGAAGCTCTGCCCATTCAGCAATAGAACCACGTGTGGCACCCGTGTTTTGTTTTTTTCCTGAGGGGGGGAGGGATTTTCGGACCCGGTGGATTTTCGGACCCCGCCCCTCCGATGAAAAGGCAACTTTTTGCCAACACCGCAGGGTTTTTGCGCAAACACTTGCCAGACCGCGCTCCGCAGCGCGCGCTTGATGACCGCAGGCACGCCCCCCTCCACCTCAAGGGCTGGGCCAACTGGGAATGTGTCTCTTAGGGGATTGCCATGGGTCAAAAGCCCGGTTAGCCCACAGTGAACATCAACAAATCCCACCACTAAAATACGTTCTAGAATGGGTAGTGAATTCACCTACCCCAAGATGGTACCATTGGCTTTGACCGCCAGTTGGCTCCAGATCTTTCGTCCGAGTGGTGGGAAAAACACATGGAGGACCCTCAAAAAACACAGAGCCCAAATAATTCGGAAGCCTGGGAAGACAAAGAAAACCCATCCTCCTATGGTTCCATTTGGGCAATTAAAAAATGTTTGGCCTATTTAGGAACTAGGTTGACGCGGCACCCCTTAGGGCGCCGCCCTTCCGGCAGCCGTCCTCCACCTCAGCCCCCGCAGCCGCGCGCATCTCGGTGCGCGCGGCGTAGCAGCCGCACAGGACGAGGGTCGCAACCACTTTACCGGCCATGGCGAGAGAAAATAACTTTGGCAAATTGCGAACTGGGTGCAAATGACCTGGCTAAATTACATGACATTGTGCACCAACCGGAGTCTGGGGAACCCCTAGTAAAGGACCATCATGGGCTTGGTGCAAGTCAGAAATTACGGGCTACTTAAATGTCAAATTAAGGCCGGGCGTGTTGGAGAGAGGCACCCCCCCCCCCAACTGGCGGCAATCCGCTAAAGCCGCTAAAATTAGTCTTCTGGGAGCCGGTGTGCCATGAACACGGCACAGGCGACAATCACCCTGTGCAGGTGACTGGCCTCGGCCTTGGAGTTGTTGCATGTCTCTTCTTCCACCTGGCGCTGTGAGAGACTGGGGCAGAAACGAGTTATAACCCTCTTTCCAATCATAGAAGAAAACAGAGGGCTCTTCAAAACACGGTAGTCTTCCAAAACCCTCTTGTCAGCTGTCATGATTGTGGGAAAAAGGGTAATGTGATTTCGAATTCAGTCGGAGGACAATGCCAGCCGGAGGGGTCCCAATAAAATGGAGCGATTCCCCGCTAGAGGGGGGATTGCCCCCTCACAAGCGCCGTCCTCGGATTTATCCAGTTCCCCTGGAAAGGAAACAGCCACTGCACAGGGATTCTTTTGATTCAAAAAAACATTAGGAATTAGCCCTACATTCGACCGGCCTTAGATAAACAACAAGCAAGCAAGCAAGCAAGCAAGCAAGCAAGCAAGCAAGCAAGCAAGCAAGCAAGCAAGCAAGCAAGCAAGCAAGCAAGCAAGCAAGCAAGCGAGCAAGCGAGCACGCAAGAACGCAAATCAATGCCTCTCGATGACTCCAAGGAGGCAGAAGCAGGGGTGCCGAACTGGTGCAACAGTTGGGCTCCCAACAGGGCCAACGCTTCAAATGGAGACACCCACCAACCCAAATGCGTGAAAATAGTGATACATGTTCTGCCCGCCTTGGCCACACAAGGCGGGCCTTCCAAGCCCCCCCCCCCCCAAATCATCAGTTGCAAAGTGAGAAATTGCAGTATCTGACGTGAATTGGGCCAGTAAAACGACCCTTACCAGGCATCGAAACCATTTCCTGTCGCTAACCCTCCCCCTCACAGCCCATCCACCACAGAGTCTGCGAAGCTCGCCCTTTCAGGCCAACTCGTGACGTTGGTTTCATCTTGGTTTCCTCACCTGTTGAATTCCTTTGGGTTTCCTTCTGGGGACAGTCTGGAAAACCAGCCCCGTATTTGACCCTCAGCCCAAGGCCAAACCCTCCGCCTGCGCTTCACTCCGCGCGCTAGCTGGAGTCAGCTGTGGCAACACGGCCTGTGGCAGCGAAGGAGTTGACGTAATTAAGGCTAGGGCACCTGTTGAAACACGTTTGGAACCTTGTTTACACAGCCTGATTTTGCTTTCCGGGAGCCGAAGTGGGCTGGTGGGCGGGTATGCGTAGGGCCGTAGGGCTGACAAAGATGACGCCATCCACCCCTCAACTGCTTTCTGGACAGCACTTGGGGTTTTGGAAATTGGAGAAGCAGGTGTTGAGGGGCTGATGGATGACACCAGGGTCGTCTCAAGCTTTGTTGCATCTTTGCGCTTGACAGGCCTATCCCCTGAGAAGTACTTTGGCGGGACGGTTCCATAACAACGCCTACCAGAAACTCTCCGGCACAATGTCAACCACGCAAATATGCTGAATCGACCGGCAGGCATCAGTTGCCAACCTGGCAGAATCGGTCGGGGAGTTGGGTGGCAAACTGGCCATGCTCATTTTTCCCCGCTCTCCTCAATCCAGCCGACAAGACGGAGGCGACAAGCCAGCGCCACTCGAAAAAAAAAAATCTAAAATATTTTGGAAAATATGTGTTTTTGAAAATAACAATGTTTAGGTGTATTGATTTTTTCAAAAAAATAATTCATTTTCTTTTTGGTATGCTGTACTAAAAAAATATTTATCAAAATGTGTTTAGACTGGTTCAAAAAATGTTTTAAAATGGTTGTTTTGGGGCGCTTATTCAAAAAATGCACAAAAAAACTAGAGTGGACCCTAGACTTTTGAGTTCGAAAAAAGTTGCGCGTGGCCTAACCTAACTGATAGGCCCCCAAGCTCTGCACCTTTTCTAAGATGGTCGCTGGGCGCCCTGTAATGAATCCTCAGCGGCTTACGTGTCCCTTGGCTTGGGGCTTGGGGTATCACCTTTTGACTACATTTCCCTTGGAGGTTGGGGGGCCAAACGTGATCTTTTGACTACATGTCCCTTGCGGGCTCAAGGTCAAACACCACCTTTTGACTACATTTCCGTTGGGCGGGGGGTCAAATATAGAGTTTGCTTTTGGGCTGGGGCGATGTTTAAACAGGACCTAAGACCCCTGGCAACATCACGCAGCTCTACCTCGAGAGCAAGCTACCCGAGCCTAGGATCGTATGGCACATGGGATTTGCCAAATTTGGACTGGGTAACCAATGGCACTTCCAATTCAACAGCGGCCCAAAAATCGGCAGAGTGGGAGCCAGCCCGAATTCGGGCCCCGGGGATTCATAAGCCGAGCTCTCAAGATCTGAGAAAAGCTGATAGAAACCAAATGCAATTCGCCCGGATCCATGTGGCAGCCACTAGCTCGGAGCTTGGGGCTTGGAGTGAACGTTTTGCTGTGTAAAAAACATAATATGAAGGAACCCCCTCGCCCCCCAAATGGGGCTGTGAGGTCAAAATTGTTATATAGTTAGGGGAAAAGGCAAAACTCCCGAAGACCTTGTATCAGAAAGTGCCCAAAAGATCTTGGCTTAAGCTTGCTGCTGGGGGGGAGGCCGGGGTGGCCGCTCATAATCAAGCGCCAACATTAATTATGCGGACCCTGGCTTAGGTTGCCCTGCACCTAGGCCTCCCACAGCCGCACGTGCAGCCAGGCCAAATCCGCGTAACGCACCACGCCTTGGCAGTGCATAGGCATGGCCGAAATAGAGGCTCAACCACTTGAATGGTTCCAGAAAGATGCCAGGAATAGTCTTACTTGAAATGGTCTTGGAACTCGGCACGCTAGCCAACTTGGACAGAGTTGGTTGGGGGATGTCAGCGGGCTAGGCAAAAACCCACGCTAATGAAGAATCCCTTGCCTGGAGTAAACTCCTGTACTTCACTAAACAACAAAAGGCATCCCTCTTTGCATTTGGGAGGTGGGGTTGGAACAGCCCTTTGTAGTATAGAACTAGGGGTCGGCTGCAGAGTCTACGATGGCAGGGGGTACGGGGTACGAGGGCAGCTGCCTGCAAAATGACTGCGTTCGGGCGAGGATCTTTCTTGTTTTCCCCCAGTGGTCACAAAACAAATGCTGTAATTTTGAAGCTAGAGATCTTTGTCATTGGAGCCGGCTTCAAATCCAAAATTCATTTTGTAGTGGGCGCGTTGGTTCTGAGCCCTACCCGGCCCTACCAATGTTTCAAGTCGCATGGGCGCCCACGTTATACGAAACATGCATGAAACACAAGCTCTATCCCTACAACATGCCACACTAACCAAACCTCATGCCTACAACGCGACTACAAAGCGACATGACCAGGCATAATCTCTCAACATGACCCTCAATACAAGTCTTAACAAAACAAGAGACATGTAGCCTCTACAAAATGGCGGGATCTTTTGCTCAACCCATTTTTAAGGCCCGACAAAGGCCCTGCACAAATTGCGTTCGACAAAATTGGCGTCGACCTGAGGCGTGACCCCCGATTCAAAGGGCCCCCTATGACAGGACTCTCCATCATGGAGGTCGCAAAATCCCCTTGCGAGGTTTTTGTCATCACAAACAATGACAAGCGCGCAGGCCAGATCTGGCACGCACTGCCCGCCTTTGTTATAGGGGTCCACCAAGTCCAGCATGTTCTGGTCGAGGGAGGCCTGGCAATCCAAGGGCCCAGCCCACGTCAACGGGTGTTTGCCTGCGAGACTCCAAGGGACTCCAAGGGCACCTGCCCCTTTGAGCAGCACAAGCGCAGGAAAGTCTGGAAGTCTCACAAAAAAACATGCTTCCCTGGACACGTGCGCACAAACACAAATGCACAGATGCGAACACATACATGCATACATACGTACGTACATTACATCACATCACATTACACTACATCACATTACAAGACACACACACACAAAGACACAACACACAGACACACACGGGCACACCCAAGCCGCAGGCACCCGCAAATTGAAGGGTCTTGCCCTGCACAAACTTTGCAAATTGTCTGAAGAGCATACAACGCTGCAAACTGACACGTGACCCAAGAAGAGGGGTCCCTAAAACGGAGAGTCCTCTAAAAATATGGGTGTGTGTGTGTCACAACAGGGGTACCCCAAAAGTGGTGGCTGTCCTTTTGGTTCCCTTTAAACGAGCCCCAAAAAGGAGACCCTCAAAAAGGCATATTTAAAAATGTTGTTGTTCAGATCCCTGGTACTTTGCAGGAAGCCATCCCCTGACTTGTTCAAGCGTAGGTCAGGGCTGAGGTCGCACACCTTGAGCCAACGCTAACGCACCCCCCTACCTTGAAGATGGGAGGGGGGTCACCAATTTCCATGCTAGCCCTCGCCCGGGAAGGGGGAATTGAACTATAAACAGAATTCCAGGCGTGAACCCCCCCTACCTAATGTGCTTAGTCCTGGGTTCTCATTGCTAGAACTCACCAACCTGAAAAGACAACTTCATCATGCATGAGTCGAGCTTGTTTTGTTCCCAGGTGGGCCCACTACAACCTGTGAAGATGTGTGGGGAAGGATCCGTCTTCATTGGGGGTACCCCCGGTTCCATGCAATGCATGGTTGGGACACACCCTGACACCTCATGACCGCGCAGAGGTAGTTAAAATGCAAAACATGCATCCTTGCCAAAGGGCAATCATGAAATTCCGCGTTTCACTCAAAGTGATACTCTCAAAAAACAAGACGATGGTGAACATGAAAACCCTTCCCAAAGGATAATTACTTGGAGAAACCTCTCCCACAAATGGATGTGTTATGATTTCATTTGCTTTTACCAAGTGCACATCCAACCCGTGGCGAAGTGAGACTCATGCCGCAACCCGCACCTCTGCGACACGTCATTCGATCATGCATGTTTATGTTTGGACGG